TCATGAACCGTACCACTGACCACCACTGCCCGAAATTTGCATGGGCTCTAAGCTCTGTCTGGTTGTGGCGACGGGTTAGGTGTGAGCTATCCCTACTCTCACTCAGTTGCCTTTACCCTAATGGCCTGTGTTCTTGAGAAGGCTGGACAAAGGCTTGTGGTGAATAACAAGTACAAGAGCAAAATACTAATCAGTCCGCACATCTATTTCCTCATCACATGGATCGTGAGTAGGATGTTGCAATTGGATTTTTGGACTATTAAAAAAATTTTTTTTGAGTAATTAAGCCCTTAAGAAGCTTGGTAATTTCCTTCAAAACTATACTGAGTATTCAAATTCTCCATGAAGTCATTCAGATTAACCCCACCCAATAATTAACTTTTCCTCTTTTTGACTACTCTCCGTAGTTTGTGGGTGTGTGCGTGCATGTGTGTGCACACACCCTATATCCTTTATTATTTATGGGGAGTAAACAGGCAGTACCACAAATATTAATATTACTTGTTCAATAAAGTGCTGTACAGATTGGTTCCCAAAGAATTATGAAGAAAATACAGCACAAAAAGTGATCATACTTTGATAAGCAATAAGGGGGGAAAGTTTCCAATTTGAGGCAGGAAATGAAGAGAAGAGAGAATTCTGGACTCTGGCCAAGGGAGAAGTGGAAGGGATTTAGAACTTTGATAATAATGTAAAGAGTGAGGAAGAAAAATCATTTTAATAAAGAAAGTTCAAATTCTTCATGTAAAGCACCTTTTTTTAGGGTTGGGGTGATTCAGGTTTGTAGACTAAATTGACCCCAATCCTTCCATTTTCCCTGCATCTATATACACTTGCCACAAGTTCATTGTGGGTGGAGCGTATTTCCCTGCTTCTTAGACTTTGGGCTTGGCCACATGACTTGCTTTGACCACATGGGTAGGAGTGATAGGGGCCAGTTCCACAGCTGGGTTTTCAGAGGCCTCACATGCTTCTTCTTGCTTCCTTTTGCTTCTGCTCCTTCTATGAGAGAAGCATGGCTTGGCTAGCTCTCTACTCCAGGATGACGAGAGACATATGGAGCAGAGCCACCCCAGCTTGCCCACAGACCTGCAGTAAGAAGCAGGCGCACCCAGCTGAGCCCAGTCTCACTCCCAGCTCAGCCAACCCACAGACCCATGAAAAAAAAAAGATTGTTCCTTTAAGCCACTGAGTCTTGGGGTCATTTCTTGTTCAGAAATATTGTGTCAAAGATAATTAAGGCATTGCAAGAGAAATGGTGGTGTCTAGAGGGAGGAAGAGAGTGGAGCTGGCAATGGGCATCCTTTTCTGGCTCTTTCCCTGGTTCTCCATAATCTATGGAGAGACAGCTATCAGGCAATGGCTGGTCTGCCCAGTGGTTGACTGCCTTCCTTGACTAGGTGAAGTTCATGTCTTGCTTGCTTAGCTAAAAACTCTGCTCTTTAAAATTCAGAGCAAGTTCACCCAGTTTGAGGGGTGGGAGACTATTCTTTCTGGTCCATATATCTTCACTAGTTTGCTGAAAGGTATTAAGCCCAGGACATTGTTTTTCTACATGTCTTTTCCACAGGTGGAGAGTAGTCTTACCCTTACTTTGCTCCAACTTTCTCTTGATTGAACTCCCAAAACACTTAACAGCTTCTAAATGTAGCAGTGGGTGACTCCTGCTCTTTTCCTATTTAAATTCCCTCTTTTAGTTCAATTCAAGGGCCACCACACTGAAGCCTTCAAGCAGGATGGGTTCATGGAAGAAATGTAGAAAGATCTAATTTGTTGCCGAGAACTTCATAAGGCAACATACATAAGAACCAGTGTGGCCTTACCCAAATGAGCTCCTTACCTCTATTGAGTTTTATCATAAACATTATTTTTTTAAATAAATCTCACCCATTATTTTGATATTTTCTTCTTTCTGAAAATACTAAACTATTCCCAAGAGATTACCTGGGGCTAAGGAGGGCAAATCTCTGTCTCAGTCACACCAAAGGCTTGTAGAAAGTTTACTCAAAAGTTTTCATGTGGCAAGCTATCTAGGTCCTACTGATGAAGCAAGTCATACAAGTTGAAAAAAAAAAAAAGAAAAGGAAAAAAACCTTTTTTTAAAGACTATGAGAAAAACATTACTTTGTGCTATTTAGAGAAGCTTGGGAGATTTGTTTTTCCTTTGGTAAATGCCACAAAGGAGACGTTTCTCATGAAAACTTAACTGATAGACAGACAGTAGCATGGTGAGGGCTGGCCTCTGGGAATAGTTATGGGAGAGAGCTTGGAGCCAGGACCAGCAATTATGAGACACCAAGGAAAAAAGCAGAGGTTGTGTAGACATAAAATATTCCAAAAGCAATCATGGAAGTGGAGTGAGAGGAAGAAAGAGAGTAAATCCTTTAAATAAAAGTAGTTCTCACCATACAAAACCCAACAGCATTCACATCTGGTATAGCAGAATTATACTTGACTAGGACATACCCTTGAAAATATATTAAAAACTTGGATATATGCATAAAACTATACTGGACAGAGAGAACTGGAATTTGAATCCTGGACTTATTTACAATTTGAGAGATCTTGAACAATTTTTCTACAGCTTTGAATTTATTATTTGCAAAATGGAAGTCATGAAACAACATGTGTGGAACTGCCCAGCATATATAGTAAATGTTTAAAATGTATTTATTGAATCTAAATAACAACCAATTCTACACTAGAAGCAAGAGTTCGTATTATGGCCAACTGAACTTGAAACATAATGCTCAGACCTCAGATTTCTCAAGATCAGTCATTTGACAGCATCAGGAGAAGATGATAGAGTTCTATTACAGAGCTGGAAACACATGATATGAATTCACTGAGTCCCTAAGTGAACTTAGCACTTTGGTAGGCACTCAGTGCAGCGGGGAATGAGAGTTAGGTGGTAGGAGAGGAGAATAAAAAAGAAGACCTATTGGATGTTGCTTCTCTCAATCAAGTTTAGACCTCAGATATGTGTGGCTGAGAACACAAGCTCTGGGGTCAGACTTGCTCTCAAATCTTGACTTTGCTTGTATGACCTGGGTCTAGTTGTTCAAAGCCTCAGATTCCCCATCCATAGAATGGGAACAAAAATACTTATATTGCAGTGCCATTTAAGGATTACAGATAGTTTATGAAAAATGCCTAGCAGTTAGTAGACATATGATACAGGGCAGCTATTGTTACTTAAAAGGCCATAGCTCTTTCAGAGCAGAGACTAGATCTCGTGAATCTTTGTATTCTTCATTGTGTTTAGCACAATGCCTGTCATATATTAGGTATAATAAATCTTCATCGAACGGATGAATTACCAAAACATCTTGTTTAATGTTCTTGCCTTTTGCCCTAATTGCCATCAGATGGAGCTTTTGCCTGGTTTGAGGGGGGTTTTTTGCCCTTACAAGACCAACATCACCACCTTTGACTTCAGAGCATATCTCCAAGACAGAAGAACTACAATAGACATAAATTGGCTGTCTGGGGTGCTTGCCTATTAATGGCACATTCAGATTCCACCTAAACATTGGTCATACCTCTCTGGTTTTGGACTCAGTCCTGCATTCATTTCCCAGCGCCATTATGTCTGACAAGTCACTTTGGGAAAGTTAGTTACCTCTTTGAACTTAATTTCCTCATTCATAAATAATGACCTTAATGGTTGATGCGAAGATTAAATGAGACAGCATATGTATAATGCCAGACATATAATAGGCAGCACAAGATTTGAAACTGAATATATGACAACAAAGCTCAAGTTCCTTATATTACATTTGATTTCCAAAGGATTTTAGGTTTCTTAAAGAAAGGAGTCATATCTTGTTCAGAATCACTTTGCATATACCTTGGTGCCTAGCATAATGCAGGGCAAAGAGTAGTATGTAATCAAGACTTGTGGAGCTGAATTGCTTCCAACTGTTAACCATACTCTAAGTGAATCAAGAACATTTCTTTAGGAAAATGTGCCTTTGGACACAAGGAACCATAATTGATTCACAAAAACAAGGAATACCAAAGAAACTTTCTTTCCCTTCTTAAAATTATTAGACTGGTTGTTTGGAGAAAAAAATAGACATCACACCCTTTCATTTTAATAAGTCTTTAGGCAGTTAAACACTTAAGATGCTTTTACATGCAAGTAACAGAAAACCCAAAACAAACTGGCTTCAAAAGTAAGCACATTTATTGGCTCACATGCTTGGAAGTGTATGTCAGAATTGGTTGTTCAACAACGTGATCAAGGATCCAGGTTTCTTTTTGTCTCTCTATTTTGATAACAGTGTCAGCTTCATTAAGGATATAAGTTGTTCAGTAGTAGAAAATAGGCTACATGTTTCCTTATTCATTTCTGGAAAGAGAAAATGAAAGAGAGCCTGCCACTCATGAGCTTTTAATTTTTCCCTTCATAACGTTCCCACTTCTTAAACAGCAATTGTCATCCATGAAATGCTATGCACTGATAGGCTTAGCTTAGGAATCCTGGCAAGGGATATGGTATTAAGACTGGAGTTAAGGTCAACTCTTCATGCACCATCCAGGTGGTGGGAAGGTGCTAGAGTCAATGGTCTGAATCATGAAAATTCACACCTTCTTTTCAGGGCCATAGCCTCTACGAAGGGAGCACATTCCTTTCTCCATGCCAGCTGTGATGACCAGTTCTTGCCGATTGTCACCTGCTGTGGGCTTGGCGTTCTCTGCCTGCTTACAGTCAGATGGCAAAAAAATAAGAAACATAACTGAAGGAAGATCATGAGCCAATATAGTGCCAGAGGTGGGGGAGGAATTTCTTAACAGCTGGAATAATCTTTAGCTCAAACAATCTTTAAGAAAGAGAATAAACAAAAGCAGAACTCGGGCTTCCCTGGTGGCGCAGTGGTTGAGAGTCCGCCTGCCGATGCAGGGGACACGGGTTCGTGCCCCGGTCCGGTAGGATTCCACATGCCGTGGAGCGGCTGGGCCCGTGAGCCATGGCCGCTGAGCCTGTGCTCCGCAACGGGAGAGGCCACAACAGTGAGAGGCCCGCGTACTGAAAAAAAAAAAAAAAGCAGAACTCAATATGGCAGACATTCATTGTTTACCTAGCACTGGGGACTGGGCAGGCCCTCTGGTGGTCAGGAGAATAATAAATACATGGAGACAAGGTTCTGGCCTACTATAAACTTTAGAGTTTAGAGTGGAATATTTGCAACACACACACATCTGCACACACACTGTACTTGAGAAATGTTCAGAACAACATCCAAAACAGTAAAGGGGGTGACTGGACAATATGACATCCAGAAATGTATTACACACAGTCTACCCTCCCACTTGCCCTCCTAGCCTGTCCTAACCTCTCAATTCACTTTAACACTGATACTCTCTCTGCCCTATTAGAATTGACTTTCTTAAGTAATTGACTCTCCTAAATATTCCATGTAACCTTAGCTTGCTGTCTGAAGTCATCTTTATCACAATTTTATTGGTATAAAACTTATGCATCACTCTTAATCCTACCACTCAGATATAACCACCATTAGCATAGTGATGTGTATTCTCTCAGTTTTTTCTATATGTATTCTTTTTTTTTTCCTCCTAAATATTCCATGTAACCTTAGCTTGCTGTCTGAAGTCATCTTTATCACAATTTTATTGGTATAAAACTTATGCATCACTCTTAATCCTACCACTCAGATATAACCACCATTAGCATAGTGATGTGTATTCTCTCAGTTTTTTCTATATGTATTCTTTTTTTTTTCCTAAATATTCCATGTAACCTTAGCTTGCTGTCTGAAGTCATCTTTATCACAATTTTATTGGTATAAAACTTATGCATCACTCTTAATCCTACCACTCAGATATAACCACCATTAGCATAGTGATGTGTATTCTCTCAGTTTTTTCTATATGTATTCTTTTTTTTTTCCTTTTTTTTTTTTTGCGGTACACGGGCCTCTCACTGTTGTGGCCTCTCCCGTTGTGGAGCACAGGCTCCAGATGCGCAGGCTCAGTGGCCATGGCTCACGGGCCCAGCCGCTCCACGGCATGTGGGATCTTCCCGGACCGGGGCATGAACCCGTGTCCCCAGCATCGGCAGGCGGACTCTCAACCACTGCACCACCAGGGAAGCCCTATATGTATTCTTTTCTTTCACAAATTTACAGGGTTTTCACTTGCCACTCCTAGAACACTAATTTATATATGTAAAGATCTGGAAGGATATATGAAAAATTGGTAACTGTGGTCTTCTCTGGAAAAGGAAGGGTGTTGCACTTTTTTTTTATTCTGTGCACTTCTATGTTATTATTTTAAACAACAAAGATGTATTTAGGTAAATTAGTAAAATTTCTAAAAGGGAAAAGTAAAATCTCTACTTCCTATGCAGTTACCAATAAAAAGTACCTGTTCTTTCACTCTGATTTATCGCAGTAGTCCTCATCCTTGGGGGCATGGCAAGAAATGAAAGTATTCAGTCTTGATCCTAAACTTCTTTTTTTTCTAGAGAGGAATAAGAAAAGAAAAATGAGAAAGAGGAGCCTTGATTTTCTCCTACAGCCCCAGAGTGCTTAATAATCAAAAGAGCAAGTATCAGGGGATGAAGAACACTCCACCTCGGGAAAGGGATTTTCTCGACAGCTACTCAGAGGAAGGAGTTTTTGTGTAGAGAAAGCAGAACTGGCTGGAAGTGAGGATACATGAGTTTTAGTTCCAGTTCTGTGAACACACAGATCTGTGAAACTGCAGGAGTCATGGTGTCCCTCTTGGCTTCAGTTTCTTACCTTATAAAAGAACTCATTTTAGAATATTTTAAAATTGAAAATTATTGAGCATGCTAAATTTTTTAACCTTGCCAAGCAAGCACAATGAAAAGGAAAAAGGAAACCAACAAACTGCAAACCAAAAACTGTCATCAAACTCCATCATCATTTCACAAATGAAAGGACACATTAGCACCAAAAGTGTAAGGACACAATCTCACATTTTAAAAATTAGCTTTATGTTAAAAACTCTCAAAATTTGCCCTTCTTTGTCTCTTTCCTCCATGGACAAGTACACATTCGCCATGGACTGCATTTGGGAACCTCAGCAGTAAGCTCTCTCACATTCCCTTCTGGTGCTATCATGCTGGCATGCTGTGATCGTGAGCCTGACCCCGCGATAGCATACTGGATGTTGAATGGCACATTCAAGGACTCAGAGGGAAAGTAGAAGCCACACTGCAGAGCAGAGATATTCAGCACTGGGAAACTAATTATTATTGAACAACTGCTACATGCCAGGAACTCCTCTGTGTGATAGAATTCCATAGAGAACAAAACAAACACAAGAGCTGCCTCCAGGGAACTTATGTTGTTAAGAGAACCAGATTATTAACAAAGACACAGCAAATACATAGTGTATCACATGGCCTTAAATACTATAGAAAAAAATAAAGCACGGTAAGTCTGATAGGTAGAGTCACTCAAGCGTGAAAAGCTATCAGAGAAGGTCTCCCAGAGCAGACACTAGAAGGAAAGGCAGGAAGTGTGCCATGTAGACGTCTAAGGGAAGAACACCATTCATAGAGGTAATGGTAACCACAGATGCCCTTAGGCAAGAGTGTGCTTGATAGTGTTGAGGAAAAGCTATGCACAGGGTAAGAGGAAAGAAAAGGAAATCACAAGTAGTTGAGGACAAGAGCATACAGGGCCTTACAAGCTCCAGCAAGGACTGCCTTTTCTCTGAGTGCATGGTGAGCTATCAAAGTGCATTATGTAGAGGAGCGACATAGTTGACTCATGTTTTCATAAACTTGCTCTGCTATTGTATAAAGAGACTCTGTGGACAAAAGTAGAAGCAGGGGATCCAGTTGATGCTATAATTTCAGTCTGGGCAGTGAAGAAGAATATTTTATAACAGAAAAGAGAGATACCCCCGTGGTGGTGCTGTGGCTGTTGTTTTTGTTGTTGCTGCTGCTATTTCAAGGGTGAGGGAAATAGGGAAACAATATGGTACTCAGTGGGAGGAAGGCTAAGATTTGGAAATACATATCTAAACCAGTATATGTCTATATATTCTCTCTATATATAAATCTCTGTGTATATATATATATATATACATATATATGTATATATATATACAGATTGTGTGTATATATAGAGTCATCTATCTATCTTTTGTCTACAGGTTACTAAATAAATTCTTGTCCTTTAGTTCCCTCCAAACTAATGCCTTCTAATTTTAGGCTCTTTAAGACTTTTTCTTTTCTTAGCTAATTATTATATATATTCCATGGGAACCCTGTGTATTAGTCCAGAAGGGCTAGGTGATGGGTCAGTGACAAATAAACCTCAAAATTTTAACAATTTAACACCATAAAAGTATATATCCAGTGTGGATTAGCAGGCAACTGATCCTCTTCGTTATCCAGAGACCAGACTGAGAGAAGCTTCATCTCAACATTTGGATCTATAATTGCTGAGGTAGGAAAGGATTCATGAAAAATGCTGTACTGGATTTGAAAGCTTCTGCCCAGAAATAACACACAGTTTTCCCTCGTATGTCACTGGTGTAAGTCACATGGCCATGCCTCACTTGATTGAGGCAGGAAAATGCAGTTGTACCATGTTCCTGAAAGACTGGGAAGTGGAAAAATAATTGAACCGTCCTAATGACTCCCATAATCTGGCTTGCTATTTCTGATTGGATCTCAGAGTTTCCTTGCTTTCACCATTCCATTTGCATAGGTCTTCCCTGTTTATCTTAATTGGAATATTTATGACCTATAAACTCCCAAATCACTTATGCCACTCATACGACATTGCACATTACCTTATATTGTCATCATTTTTGTACAGACACACAAGTGGCATGTGCTGTTCTCAGTGCCACCTGTCTTTTCCTTTACCCCACTAGGTTGGTCTTTGCAGCCGGGAAATCAATCCAAATAGGTCCTAGGGTAATTATCCTGCCTGAAGATAAAAAAAACAGAGATGCCTGTTTCCTTTAGACTGCTTCTGTTCTTTGATAATATGCCTCTTATTTCCCACCTGCCATGCCCACTAGGCTTTTCAATAAGTGTGGCAATGGCAGCAGATTTTCTCTGATGCTGAAGCCAAACCAAAAGTTAACTTCATGTGCTTGCTAGCAATGGAAAAGCAATAGCATTGAGTGTTTCATTGTTAGATTAATGCATTAGTGAGTGACAAGGTGCCATCTTGAGCAGTAGTGATAGGTTTCCAACCCTGAGGACGTTCTAAGACTGTTTTTAGAAAGAAATTGTTTTGAGTTTCCAGGTCAGGGAATAAGGTCCACATGTCATCTCACTATCAGAATATCAAACTCTGATTTTTCTTCCTTGACATTTCAGAGATTATGACTATGTAGAAATGACAAGGACAGGACAGTGTATAGCTGCTGAAGCCCCACAAATGGAACCACCTTTGTTAACTTTTTAAAGCAATTAATCTGGTTTATTAAAAATAATGTCTCCTCTTAATTAAGTGACAGATATTAGAGATTGATATTTTTTTCTTTCAGCAGTCCCATAAAAGGAGAATGAAGGAACGTGAAGGAGCAATAGAGCAAATGCCAAGATAGAGAATAATCAGATCAGGTTTTAAAATAGAAACCCATCTGTTAGCTACGAGTGGAAACAACCTTTCATTTGCTTTACTAAACAGGAGGCTTATTGAAAGTTGGGATTGGTTTTTATTTTTCTTTCTTTCTCATACTGCAGTCCAACATGGTGCATTGCCTAGAGGAGGCAGAAATAAACACTTGTCTAGTGAACAACAAAAAATTGTATCGGGTTTGCTTCTTCTATCCAACAGGTGGCATTGTTGATTTATAAATGGCCTTAGGACCAGCACAGGGGCTAAGCAACCACCAACGTCGGTTTTGTCATTGCTGTTTTTGTTTTTGTTTTAATTACACCTGTTGTTAAAGCATAGGACAGATGTGAGGAGCACAGATATCCCTCTTTTCAGAACCACTTTGTTTTTGAGAAGCCATATATGGCTGATGAGTCATTTTAATTATATAGGATTAGTAAATGATAAGAAATATCTAACGTTCCCCCTTTTGATTACGCTGGATGAACCAAGGAGGAATTCCTTTGTCTTCTCTTCATTCCTGTTAGTGCCAATTTAACCATGACTCATACCACTTGAATTTACACATTAATTCACTAAATCACTTATGTATTGAAACAGTGGCATTTACAGACTTTGAGTTTTGTGCTTATTATACAAAACTAGAAAAGGACAGAGCTACAAAAGAAAAATGAGACCCTATCTTTATTGTCTAAGATATTTGAAATCTAATTAGGAAAATAAAAAATATATATAAATCCAACTAGTAATAATTCAGGCAAGATGCTCTTTATGTTGGGTACTAATAGTCAAAAATAAAAACTAACATTTAGTGGGAATTTACTGTGTGCTAGATGCTGTTCTAAGCATTTATTTGATCCTCATAAGAATCCCTATAGAGTAGGTACTATTAGTATCCTCATTTTATCAGTGAGGAGACTGAGACCTGGGGGATTTAAGTGGCCAGGTCATGGCAGGTAGTGTGACCCCACTTATAATAGCAGCTGATACTGAGTACTCACGTACTTGACACATGTCAAGTAAGTGTTTATGCCCTTTGCGTGCATTATGTTAGTTAATTTTCATGCTAACAATTTCAACTAAGTACTAACCACTATCTTTATGTTACTTTTATTTCCTGTAGGAGTCTACTAGCCTTTCTTAACAAAATACAAATGCATTTACCTCTCTATTGCTTGAAGTAAACACAGAGATTTATGCAAATATGGATTTATTAATTTAACTTCAGACCTGACTAGGCTTCAGAATGCAAGTAATTTACTAAACATCATGAGAGTGTGCATTTTTTCTCATAAGGTGTATCAGTTCCATTTCATCCAGCATTTTAGTAGAAATTAAAAATATATATTTGTAATCTTTGTTGCCTTCTCTTCAGATAAAAAAAATCTGTTTTCAGCTGTGGGAAGAGTGGCCGAATGACTGATTAGGACTACTGAAATTTCATGCATTTTGATTCACTAATATACCACAAAGCCTTTAAAGTAGGGAAATTACATATATACATATGCTAATCTTTTTCTATCTTCAAGAAACAAACAAAACCCCATAAATTCCAACAATCTATAGCCTTTCCTTCAATCCAAAAAAAAAAAAAAATAGGAATGAGGAGTGGGGGGTTGAGGGGAAACAGCAAAAAAATAAGGGAGATACATTTCTAATCATGGTATAGGTTAGCAAGGACCTGTAAATATAATGACCTTATTTAGAAATTTACCAAATCATTTTTTTTTTCTTTTTAAAATAACAGCTTTGGGACTTCCCTCGTGGTCCATGGTTAAGACTCCGTGCTTCCATTTGCAGGGGGCCCAGGTTCAATCCCTGGTCAGGGAACTAGGATCCCTCACGCTGTGCAGCATGGCCAAAAGAATAAAAAATAAAAATGAAATAAAAGAACAGCTTTATTGA